TAGAAGATGGCCCAAGTGCTTGGACCCCTGCACCCGCATGTGAGACCAGGAAAAAGCACCTGGCTCCCAGCTTCGGATCAGCACAGCGCCAGATGTAGCGGCCATTTGGGGAGCGAACTAACGGAAGGAAGACCTTTCTCTCTGTCTCTTACTGTCTGCAACTCTACCTGTCTAATAAATTTTAAAAAATCATTTTAACAAAGGATCTGAAACTTTATAGTACCTTATTAAAAAGGGAGATTTAGGGACCAGCACTGTGGTATAGTGGGTAAAGCTGCTGCCTGTACTGCTGGCATCCCATATGGGCACCGGTTCGAGTCCTGGATGCTCCACTTTTAATCCATCTCTCTGCTATGGCCTGGGAAAGCAGTAGAAGATGGCCCAAGTCCTTGGGCCCCTGCACCCATATGGGAGACCCAGAAGAAGTTCCTGGCTCCTGGCTTCAGATCAGCATAGCTCCGGTTGTTGCAGCAATTTGAGGAGTGAACCAGCAGATGAAAGACCTCTTTCTCTCTCTGCCTCTGCCGCTCTGTAACTCTTTAAAAAAATTTAATTTATTTACGTTGAAAGTCAGAGTTACACAGAGAAAGAAGAAGAGGCAGAGAGAGAGAGAGAGGTCTTCTACTTGCTGGTTCACTCCCCAGATGGCTGTAGTGGCTGATTCTGTGCCAATCCGAAGCCAGGAGCCAAGAGCTTCTTCTGGGTCTCCCACGTGGGTGCAGGGGTCCAAGGACTTGGGCCATCCTCTACTGCTTTCCTAGACCATCGTAGAGTGCTTGATCAGAAGTGGAGTAGCTGGTGGGCCGGCGCCGCGGCTCACTAGGCTAATCCTCCGCCTAGCGGCGCCGGCACACCGGGTTCTAGTCCTGGTCGGGGCGCCAGATTCTGTCCCAGTTGCCCCTCTTCCAGGCCAGCCCTCTGCTGTGGCCCGGGAGTGCAGTGGAGGATGGCCCAGGTGCTTGGGCCCTGCACCCCATGGGAGACCAGGAAAAGCACCTGGCTCCTGGCTCCTGCCATCGGATCAGCGCGGTGCGCCGGCCGCAGCGCGCTGGCCGCGGTGGCCATTGGAGGGTGAACCAACGGCAAAGGAAGACCTTTCTCTCTGTCTCTCTCTCTCACTGTCCACTCTGCCTGTCAAAAAAAAAAAGTGGAGTAGCTGGGGCTAGAACTGGCACCCATATGGGATGCCAGCACTGCAGGCGGCGGCTTTACCTGCTACACCACAGTACTGACCCCTGTAACTCTGACTTTCAAATGAATAAATACATCCTAAAAAGAAAAAGTAGATTTATTTTTGGCTCACAGTTCTGGAGCTAGATCTAGTGATCAGTTGTGGTAAGGGCCTCATGCCGCATCATAACACTGCAGATGTCATCACATGGCAGAAGCACATTAGAGAGAAGAGCAAGTGGTATGTATGGAAGAGAGATTGAACAGAAGTACCTGGCTTACTATAGCAATGCATTCCCATGAGTACTAATGTAGCACCACAAGAGCTAGAACTCCTATAAGGCAGCACAAAGCCATCTTGGAGACTTAATCCCTCCTCACAAAGTCCAAAGCACCTCAATACCATTACTCTGGGGAATTAAAATTCAACTTGAATTTTGGTGGGACAAACCACATTCAAACATAACAAGAAGTCATTCTTTATTTGACAACTGAAGTAAGTAAGTTCTAGTGAAAATGAATGATTTATATATACAAAGTTATGAACTGGTAAGTGATGTTAAGAAAAAGTTGTGGAGAAAATCACTCTGGTAATCATATGAAAGAGAAAACACAGAAAGGATGACAGTGAGAAGGTTACTGACAGTCTAGATAAAAAAGTATTAAGAATTTTTACCAGACTAAGTTTCCTTGCAATGGTGACAGGACTTTCTATAGATGTTGCAGAAGAAAAATGCATGTGATTTCTCTTGACTGGATTTAAGGACTGAGAACAAAAACATTACCAAAATACCCAGAGGCTAGTCACATTTAAACAAAATCTAGCTTGGCTTTGCAGGTCTTGTCAGTGCAACCTCTTACTGTCATCAATGTCAGTCCTCATCACTTCCTGTGGGAGTCTAATTCTATAAAGTATCATATTTGACCCAAATGCATATCAGTATACAGCATCTAAAGAGAAAACACAAACCCTTGCTGAATCAGATAAATGAAGATGAAAATTTGGATGGTTTTAAAACGTTGCCACAAATTCTTTGATACTCCTATCTTCAAGAAACAAAGCTTTATTCCCTCCCTATACTACAGGCTGTACTTAATGACTGGCTTCTAGTGAATGCTATAATAAGTGACAAGAATAGTCGAAGGGCCGGCGCTGTGGCTTAGTGGGTTAAGCTGCCGCCTGCAGTGCCGGCATCCCATATGGGTGCTGGTTCGAGACCTGGCTGCTCCACTTCTGATCCAGCTCTCTGCTATGGCCCAAGTCTTTGGGCTCCTGCACCTACAAGGGAAGACCCAGAGGAAGCTCCTGACTCCTGGCTTTGGATCAGCGCAGCTCCGGCCATTGTGGCCAATTGGGGAGTGAACCAGCAAATGGAAGACCTCTCTCTCTCCCTCTCTCTGCCTTTCCTTCTTTCTCTGTGTAACTATTTCAAATAAATAAATAAATCTTTAAAAAATAACAGTCTATGTGCTAGGATTTAATGTTTTTGCCCCTCCAAAATTTAATCCTCAACACAACAATATTGAGGGTGTGTGACTCTTCAGAAACGATTCTGTCATGAGACATCATGATTGGGATTAGGCATCCTTATACAATAACTTGACAGGGGTAATAAACCACTTTCACCCTCTGCCTTCTGCCCTCTGGTATCAAAGCATTCCCTTTCTTGGGAGGACATGCAGATTCACGGTGTCATCTTGGGAACAGACTGCACCCTCACTAGACAACCGACTTACGAGCACCTTGGTCTTAGACTTCTCTGTCTCCAGAGCTGTGAGAAATACATTTCTGTTTTTCCAAAACCCAGTCTCAGATATTTTGTTATAGAACCACAAAATAGAATTAGACTCTAGGTAATCAAAGTGATTGGACAGTAAAGGGCCTGACAGTGTTCTCTTTGCCTTTTCTCTTAGCTCACACACTCTGGGGAAACTCAGTTGCCATGTGATGAGAACAGCCAAGCAGCCGTGTAATTAGAGCACTAAGATGAAGAACTAAGGCCTCCAGCCACCAGCCATACAAGTGAATCATTTCAGAAACAGATCTTCTCAATGAAGTTTTTTGACAGTTGCAGACCTAGCCAGTATATTGACTCTAACTTCCTGTGAAACGTTGGGCCACATCACCCAAGTAGGCATTGCCAAATTTTGTTTCATGGAATCTTTGGGAAAAAAAAAAAAAAATGAGATGGGGTCGGCACTCTGCTGGAATAGGTTAAGCCTCCACCTATGGCGCCAGCATCCCAGTTCAAGTCCTGGCTGCTCCACTTCCAATCCTGCTCCTTGCTAATGGCCTGCGAAGGCAGTGGAAGACGGTCCAAGTGCTTGGGCTCCTACATCCACCCGGGAGACCTAGAAGTTCCTGGCTCTGCATTGGTCCAGCTCTGGTCACTGTGGCTATTTGGGGAATGAACCAGCAGATGGGAGACCTCTCTCTCTGTCTATCCCTCTCTGTCTGTAACTCCATCTCTCAAATAAATAAATAAATCTTAAAAAAAAAAGAAAAGAGAGATCATTTGTTAGTAAAAAGTAATGCAAAAGTGAAAGTAACAAAGGTGTATAGGGCTTTCCTCCCTCAAAGTACAGATTATTACTGAATTTGATTGGTGATAACAATATTCTTTCTTGATTAACAACATGACCTATAAGAGTAAACAAACATTGAACAAGGAAGTAAAGTACAAATAATCCTAAACCTGATCCAGCCAACTTGAACCACTGATCTCTACCCACAAGGAGAAAGATTGAACAATCTTTGAGTTTTCAAGGTCTGGTCATTAGTACAAAGTTGTAATGCATTTATTTTTCTGTACTAACTGTAGTGCAGTGATATGCTTATGAAATCACTTACGGATTGACATTGTTTAAGTGTTCACTATTTAAATTAAAAAAGAATTCTTCTGCCGGCGCCAGGGCTCAATAGGCTAATCCTCCACCTAGCGGCACCAGCACACCGGGTTCTAGTCCCAGTCGGGGCGCCGGATTCTGTCCCGGTTGCCCCTCTTCCAGACCAGCTCTCTGCTGTGGCCAGGGAGTGCAGTGGAGGATGGCCCAAGAACTTGGGCCCTGCACCCCTTGGGAGACGAAGAGAAGCACCTGGCTCCTGCCTTTGGATTAGCGCAGTGCGCCGGCCGCAGCGTGCCGGCCGCGGTGGCCATTGGAGGGTGAACCAATGGCAAAAAGGAAGACCTTTCTCTCTCTCTCTCTCACTGTCCACTCTGCCTGTCCAAAAAAAAAAAAAACACAAAAAAATAGGGGCGTCCGAGTTCTTCATAAGTCACAAAGTTGTGTGGAGTCACTAGCTTCTTATATGTATGTATGTACTCATATTTGCTTAGGTTTATAGGTAAATTTGAAAAGCTGTGCAGAATCCTCAAATTTATATAGTGTCCTATCTTCTAGAAAGCAATTTCAAATAACGTTCATTTCTGGGCGCCCCATAACAAAATGGATGTATGAGTTTGGGCAGGACTCATTCAACTATGCAAAAGTGAAGGGGTTGTTTATATGTTACTGAGGATCGGCTGCTCATGAGTTACCATAAAAAGCCATTTATATATATACACACAAATATATAATATATATTTTCTATACAAATCCACAGGAGAGGAAAAAAATCTGTTGTAAGAAAAAAAAAAAAAAAGCCCCCTTTCTGCTCCCACCCACGTCAAAACAGAGAACACGGAAAAATCAGGCCGGCCACACTGGGATTTTAGGAGATGAAGGTCAGAACAGATATGCAGTACTGAACAGCTCGAAGACAAGAGAAAAACCTCACAACAAAGGCAGTACATTTGGAGCTTCTCAAGTCCCATATCCTACGCCGCCTTTGCGTTCTCGTCTACCGTCCCAGGAAGACGCGGAGGGGAGCCGCAGCGCATGCGCGGAGGGGCGCGGCCCGCGCCGGGCGGGAGGACTTAAGCCCTGGGCGGGGCTGGGCGCGCGGGAGATTTGAACTTTCTCTCTGCCGTCTGTGCCCGCGCGGAGGTTAACTTACCCTGCAGTCTCCTCAGCGGGCCCGCAGCTAGGTGGGCCACAGTGCTGGCTCGGCGATGGTGGAAGGACCAGGCTGTACTCTGAATGGAGAGAAAATTCGGACGCGGGTGCTCCCGGGCCAGGCGGTGACCGAGGTACGGGGTACCGCTCTGCCCAGCCTGCAGGGTGCGGCGTTGCCCCTCGCAGCCTCCGCAGCTGTGGTCTCTTCCCAGGTGAGCTCCACCTATAACTGGCCGTGTGGCCGGCAGGGAGAAGTGCAGTAAAGACAGCATTGGTTCCGGGGTCGGACTGCCGTGCCTGCCCTGGTCCGGGTTCCGTGGGAAACCCGTGGTCTCTACAGGTTCATTCTCACTCTGCCCTGGGGGAGAAGACTGTTCCCGTTAGCCTGTATGGGCTGGTGCCGGCTCAGCAGGATCCCCGGGAGAGAATCAACTGAAGGTGTTTTTCGTCTATATCACCTTCCTTTATAACCCAGCAAAAGATGACTTACCTCTGTCCACAGATTTATTTTCCACTGTTAATGTTATAAAATCTCTGCAACCTTTGATTATATTTTTCTTCACGTTTTCAAGATAAGCTTTTAGTATAAAATTCTGGCTTCTTGCTTGCCTAATATTCTGCCGTTGCTAAGTATCTGACAACTACTATATAATTCTAAAATTGCATGTAGAAAATGCAGCACTGACTTTCCATTTGATAATGCTATCTAGTGAAGGGGCAGTGAATTTATTTCTTTGTAAAGTAAATTGTGTCACAGCTTCTTGCCATTTAGCCTTTCATTGCAGATAGTGAACTATTTGGTAAGAATTTAGGCCGGGGTTAAAGATATTCTGATTAAGCCATCATGCTTTAAAAGCCCTTTAGATGTGTGCATGATTATATTTCAAGGACGCACACAATATTGTGTGTATTTTTTTTTTTTTTTTGACAGGCAGAGTGGACAGTGAGAGAGAGAGAGAGAAAGGTCTTCCTTTGCCATTGGTTCACCCTCCAGTGGCCACCACGGCTGGCACACTGCGGCCGGTGCACACGCTGATCCGATGGCAGGAGCCAGGTGCTTCTCCTGGTCTCCCATGGGGTGCAGGGCCCAAGCACTTGGGCCATCCTCCATTGCCTTCCCAGGCCACAGCAGAGAGCTGGCTTGGAAGAGGGGCAACCGGGACAGAATTCGGCGCCCCAACTGGGACTAGAACCCGGTGTGCCGGCGCCGCTAGGTGGAGGATTAGCCTACTGAACCGCGGCGCTGGCCAGTGTTTTGTGTATTTCAAGTTCTCTTGCAAAGCTTCCTCATAGTCTTTGGAAGAAAAAGTTGCCTGCTGTAAGATTAGCAGATGCTTACAACTTGAAAGAAATGACCGTCTAAGTCTGGGAAACTACATTTCCAACTTGGAAGGAGAGTGTTTCTCATCTCCTTCCAATTGCCCTTTTATTTTATTTACTATTACTTGATATGTCAGTAAGTACTCTCTATTTATTGTTTATTACAGCATTTATTATAACTGTTTCAAGGTACCACCAAGAGGGATTTTAGATGGTTTTTTAGGAATACTAATAATTTTGAAAAGCACTTATTCAACCACATTTTGACCACTCAAGGCACCTGTGGAGTAAATGCCCTTATGGAGACTATAGATGAAAACATAAACTGCTATTCGTTAAATAGTAGCAGAAAGAAATATAAATAGGTAAGTGTTCTGAAGAGAGGTATATGGTTCCTTAAGGACTCATAGGAAGGTCAGGGAAGGCTTCCCTGCGGAAGCATCCAAGCTAAGTAGGAGATGTATAGCACCTGGATCGAGTTTGGCCGCAGGACACTGCAAGCTGAGGGATGGCAAATGAAGAGGGTTTCAAGCCTATTAAGGAACTGAAAGAAAACCATTGTAGCTAGAAAAAGAATAAGGGAAGGAATGCGGTTTAGAGTAAAGAGTAAGGACTGAATTGGTGGGTAGGAGGTAGACTGTAAATCTGTAGATCAAATTAAGGACTTTGTATTTATACTAGGAGTCAGGGATTTGGATGCATGAAAAGATTTTTATATGCCCTGGAAAGATCACTCTGCCTTGACAAGGAGAAAGGAAGCCAGAAAAGAGACCGTTACCTTCAAAAGGAGATGACTGGGGTTGTCCACATGAGCAGCTTGGACTCCCATGCTGGTAGGGGAGAAAAGGGAAAAGCATCAGGACTTCAGAAGTGAAGGTGATAGGACTTAGTTACAGATATGATACAAATATGCTATGGATATCATAATTTTTATCATTCAACAGTAATGTCTTTTGTGTTAGGTTTTACGTTAGCTCCTAGTGAGACAGAGTTCTTTGGCTCACTTGCAAGCAGAAATTAGCAAGAGGCCAACTGAGAAGAGGTTCCGCCACCCAGCTTCAGCCCCCACCCCAGCTGATCAGGGATTTGTATCTGGCTGGGGAGTGTACCACACCCTTTCAGTCTCTGACTTGTCCCCTATGCACAGGGCACTTCAGTTTGCACCTGGCTTGGTGGTGTGCACAGGCATAGTTGCTTCTTTAAGTGGTGCTGTTGCTCACTACCACCTCCCTAGGAAGATCATATATTAGTGAGCCTGGACTATTCTGTGCATTCACACCAGTGAGGGAAGTGGCTAATGGGGCAGTAGGGGATCTTTTGCCATTAGTAGGTGGACAGTCCTTGCTTCTGATTGATTTGGAGCCAAGCTGGGTAGAGTATGCTGTGGTGGGAGACAGAGACATGTCCAGTTGGGAGGGCATTGATTTTGTGAATCCTATTTCTAACCTGTCTCACCAGGGATATAAGGATGAAAAAGGCAAGGAACTTGCTATAAAAATCCAACCTAATGTTTTAACTAACTTTCATCTCATTGGTGTTTAGATAAAATAGCATGAACACTCCCTTTTAAGTTTGTTGTGATTGGGCGGGCTCTGGCATAGTGGGTAAAGCCCCCATCTATAATGCCGAATTTCTATATGGGCACCAGTTTGAGTCCTAGCTGCTCCACTTTTGATGTAGCTCCCTGCTAATGGCCTGAGAAAGCAGTGGAAGATGGCCTAAGTGGTTGGGTCCCTGCACCCACCTGGAAAACCAGAAAGAAGCTCCTGGTTCCTGGCTTCGGCCTGGCCCCGCCCCTGCTGTTGGGGCCATTTGGGGAGTGAAGAAGTGGATGGAAGACCTCTTTCTGTCTCTCCCTCTCTCTCTTACTCTTTTTTCAAATAAATAATTTTTTAAATAAAGGGAGTAATAACAGATTTGTTAAAGGTTTGTTGTAATTATTTCTGGTGACAAAGCATAAAGTGCTTTTACTTTTAATGTGAGAATAACCGAATGATAAAACATTAATGCAGTTATATACACGAAGAATGTGAGGCTCAGAATGAATTTAAGCCAGTAGCCCAAGGTCACATGAATAGCAAGGGGTTAAGCTAAGTTTTTGTTAATTTTGATGTTTTACAAAGATTTATTTTATTTATTTGAAAGACAGAACACAGAGAAAGGGAATGACAGAGATTTTCTGTCCATTGCTTCAACCCCAAGAGGCTGAAATGGCCAATGCTGGGCCAGCCTTAAGCCAGGATCCCAGATGGTCTCCCCACATGGGTGGCGAGTCGGGGGATCTTCAGCTGCCTTTTGGTGCATAAGCAGGGTGCTGGATCAGAAGTGGTGAGCTAGGATTTGATCTCTTTATTTTTGGCTTCCAAAGACTATACTCCTAACTAGCCTATGGCTCCTCTTAGTAATAAATGATTCAGCCAACACAATGGTAGCAATGCCATAATGTTGTAGCACTGGTATTTATTAACCAGAGAAGTATGGCCTTGTGTTTTTGGCTATGTCTATAACAATTTTTGTTTTGTTTAATGTAGTCTATTCTCGTATCCATTCTCTTCTATCAATGTCTGTTCCTGTGTTCTGATTGCACAAAAGAAATTAGCCTGATAATATAATAGAAATGCTTTGTTAATGTTTGGTTGGTAATTAACATCACCTGGCAATGGTATCTAATAAGCTGTACTCTACAAATTAAAAACCCCTGCATTTAAAGCTATTATATGGATACAAGGAGATATAAAAAAATTGAAATAGGTCTTTGTGATTAGTATTAAAAAATCCTGTCCTGTGGACAGTGGATTTGAAAATAAGCATGGAGTTAATTTTCTCTTTGTGGATCATGGCAAACTTCTAAATATTTTGCCATGGATACATGTTCTGGAACTTGGAGCTAAAAAAATAATGATAAGTTTTATAGATATGCAAAATATTTTGAATGTTTGGGGGGTGTTGATTCATAGTAAACTTCATTAAAACATTGTAGGTTGTTACAAACCTATGGCAAGATGATTACTATAACAGATAAGCGAGTCTTCCTAGGCTTTTGTGTCAGAGTTGAAACTAGATGATTTTACTGCTGGCTTGAAATGGTTAGTTGTCGCAAAGCAGCATTTAGAAATTATTTAGTAACTGCATACTATGTTCTCTACAGTGCAATAAAAATGAAGAAAATTATGTAAAGTCAAAAAATTCAGTATTACAAATAAAGTAAACTTCAGATAATTATTATACTAAAAATAACAAACAAGAAAACCCTACCTAAGTGTCTATTATTATACCAAACCAGTTATTGTTTGTCAGATAGCATTCCTCTTCCAGTTTAAAATTCACAGAGAACATACTGTAATGCATGTGTCCTTGTGACAACTGGTCCTCATCTTGAAGAAGAAAGCCTGTACCTAAAGATCTCAGCATCTGTTAGTCATGTATGCACTCTATTATTTCTCTGAGTTTTGATCCATTGTCTTGTCAGCATAAAATTATGCAACTGTGTAAGCACATTGCATAAAAACTCTGCTGGAGCTTGTGGAAACTAATGCTAAGAAACAACACTGGAATGTAAATGAACATGTCTGGTTAATGAGCTTTGAAGAGTTAGTCCTCCGATTTTAATTGGTGGGTGGATACAATATTTTTGTGAAATCAGTACATAATCTGCATGTGTTTTCAATCTACTTTCACAAAACAGGATATGAAACAGTTTATTTATAAGCATTCATTTCACTTGAAACATGCTCCTCTTGTTATTTTCATCAGTCTTTATGATTTGATACATGTAGTTAATATGCTAGCTACTCTTATTCATCTTCATATATACTGCACAGTGTCAGTGAACAGTGTAGGCATTTAATAAATGTTGAATGGCTAGAGAAGAACAAAGTCTTGAATGGTACAAAATGATTAAGGATTCAAAAATAAATTGTTTGGAATCTCTCATTATGAGTATTTATCTGTTTTGTTGTGCATGTTATATGAAAATTCTTATTTTCATAAAAATAATGAAGTCATTATAGCATTATATACCTTCTCCTTTGAAGTGGAAAAAAAATCATAGCTCATTTTACTGCCATTATTTGAAGGAATGAGCTAATCCATGGAGATTCATTTTCCTGCTAAATGAAGGCCATTCCCTTAAGTGTCCAAAAGGGTTTTCTAAATATTTTATAGAACATGCATGAAATATCTCCTTATCTTCTTAAATGCACACAGATAATGGTTTCTTCTTAATGATTCAGGATCACTAGCAGCAGCATCTGACATTATATGGAATCCTGAAACAAGGCAAAACAGAACAGATTAACATTTCAACAGCAGAAGAAACTAGGAGAGGTGATTTTCCATGGCTATTGTAGCTTTTTATCCAACACTAAAATATTCCATATGCTATCAAGAAAAGAACAAGGACCATCTTGACTTAGAATTACCGCTCCTTTGTTCTTCCTCATCTGGAGATGCTTACCCTCACATCCCAGTTTGTCTGGTTAGGATTAAATTAAAGGACACATAAAACTCTTAGCTTACTGCCTAGCAACATAAACATTCTGGTAATCATTCCTTTACTCCTGGATCAGGGCTTTCTCATCAGATGCACTTATCTAAGGAGCACCGTATTCCTTTATGAAGGATTTATAATCATTCAGTGCCCTCAAATAAGGTACAAGGTATTTAGTCTGGATAAGTGCTTAAACTTCTGCTCTTACAAAATTGTAGAATTCATTTTAACACATGGTCCTAAAGACCTCTATTTCGGTGCGTTGAGACCATTTTAAAATTAGGTTCTTTGATTGCTTAGATTGGGAGATAAGTGACCTCTGGTTAAAAATAGCTTTTATATGTGGGGGAAACATTTGGGGAAAAAGGAGGAAAGAATATGAAAGTCAATAAGGTGTTTTATTCCTCTCTGTGGGGAAAATATATAACTGCAACAGAGTTGACACATTTATTATGGAAAAGTCTTATTCTCTGAAAAGTTCATCTTCTGTGTTCACCCATGGATAAGCAGGATAAATGGTCATCAGCACAATAAATCATGTGCTGTCTCTGAAAATATATGTTGTTTTGAAGATTTCATATTATTAAGCCACTTGAAAATGGGAAGGTGAACCCTTCTCAATCATACTTAAAATTGCAGCAAAGGAGATTTTCATCTCTATTTTAGAAGGAAAAAATACATGGATGAAATGTTCAAATAATACAGTAACAGGATTATAAGGGTCAACAAGAGAAAGTCAAGTATCTAATGGGAAATTGTGTATAGTTACAGTAAAGATAACAGGGTTGAGGAAATTAAGTTTTGAATTTGGACAGCAGAAGCTTGTAGAAAGAGGTGATAACCCTGGATTCTACTGTAGGACAAGCAAAAGTCTTGTAAATCTTAGGTTTATTGGAAAAGGCTTGCTCAGTTTGTGTACAATAGCTCTCAACAGAAGAGGAACATTACTATTACTGGTGCTTTTATGATGGAATTTTTAAAAATATAGTGAAAAATATATGCAGTTGCTTGTAATGACCAACCATAAGTTGGCCATTTTATTTGTCCCAAGTGTATTATCTAGAACTAATTATTGTGAAAAAATATTGTAATAGCAATCAATAGCGCTGGGTAGAACATCTGCATGAGGGACAACTGAACAAAAAAATCTTTATCATTTCCCTCCAAACCAAAATGAAATATTGGAGCAGATGTTTTTAAAGCACCCATTTAAATGCTAAGTAAACATGTCAAATAGAGCTGGACATTCCAGGTCTGGTTGTTATGTATGCGTCATCCCTTTCTTCTTCTTTTCCATCTTCCCCCGCCTCCTTCATTCCTCTTTTAAACCTTCCCACAAAGTTCTTATAATTTTATGAGAAACTCCAGTGAATTTTACTTCCATATAACTTTTGGTAGCCTTGAGAATTTGGACTTTTATATATTTCAATCTCATTCCATTGCAGATAATTAGAAAACAAAAGACTGGGGTGTTAAATTTTCAAGCAAATTGAAGCAGATGGCAGAGTAGATGTTTTTGCCAAGAAATCCTGGGAAAGGTAAATCAAGATGGGAATAGTGGGTGGGGAGACAGTGAGCCTATACTTCAAAACCATACTCAAGAGGGAAGGGAAGAGGTATCTGTTTAATCCCACAAATGTTTACTGAACATCAGGTATTGTGTAAAGCCCTCTGGGATATTAGCTAAACATGACTTACTGTCCCCAAAGACCTTACAGACAAGGGAGAAATACAAGGCACCTACAAATAATAATTCAATGTAGTAAGTACTATGACAGTGGTTTAGAAAACACTGTACTAAGTTTGGCAGTTAGAAAGCCTCCAGATTTTTCTGTTGCCCAGGTAAGGAAACACCAGTACTAGAGAGAATTGGAAAATATATATGTGAGCAAGGAAGAGGTTATACTAACATTTCATTTTAATTCACCAATGCCTTATCAGCTATTAACATTTATTATTAAGCTAGGGTCACACAGCATCTATAGTTGGAAGAGTTTCTGCTGCACGGAAGTCATTTCATTGTTTCAGGTCAGTATTTTTTCATATGTCAGCATTTGTCTGTGATCATTTCCCCATTGGGTCTCTTGATCAATATCTATTTTAATATTTACATTCATCAGGCCATAAACATCTTTTTCCAACATTTGTAAAGCTTTTAATTTCATAACTTTCAGGATTTTTATGTCATTTTATATGCTGTTTTTAATTGTGGAGAATAGAGAAGACATCAGTAGAAAATGTAAGATGTGTAACACACCCTTAGGGATTTGATTTTTAAGTTCTCTTTGAGTCTTTGTCAGCCAGGCAACATATTTCACTTTTTCTTGATGGCTGTATGAAGATATATAATGGCCTCATGCATTTTAAGTATATTGGCCTTTATTTTTTAGATTCCTCCTTCTGTACACTACAAAACTTATTTATGAAGGTACTTACTCCCTTTTGTTTTATTAATATGTGGCCCAGTAACCACGAAGTTTTAAAAGACTATTCACTGCAACTTTCTTTTCCTAAAAGGTCAAATTTTTCATGACTAGATTTTTCTAATGCCTAATAGTTGTCAGTAGATTTGCAGATACAGATGTCTGTTCCAGCACAACTTTTAGTGCCTTGAAGGCGTAATTCTAGAAATAAAAAGTTTTTTTAAAAAACTACTTTCCCAGCTCCTAGCATTGATTATTCAAGATGTTTCTGCTGCTTTCTTCATGGGCTATAAGAAACCAGATTCCTTATAGTGAGGGTTCTGGATAATCCTGGAGCAGGACCTTATATACTCATTTACGACATAGTTAAAAATTCCCTAGGAAAAATCTAGGATAGAAGTCAGGATAAGCTATGTTTGAATCCCTTGCCAGTAGACATGACTAGGAGCCCTTGGCATATTTAATATTTGGGGGAAGAAGTTGAGATTTCCCTTAAGACCCCATACTTTTCTTTTTCTTTCATTTTTGCTCTCTTTTGAAATCTCTATCATATAGTAGTTTAAGATTGAGTGGTACAAAAAACTTTATGTGAATTGTACTTTTAAATATTTTGGTTTGCTTGTTACAATTAAACTTCATAGTGCAGTAATACTGAGTTCAGTTTTGGTGATTTGATAACTGGGCAGATGTCCTTACAGAATAGAAAACGTCTCCAGAAAGTTGGTTGTGTTTTCAGAACCTGTACGGTAAAATAAACAATCAAGGGAAGTTATGATGTAAACACAAGATTAAGTAGGTAAATATGAAAAGTACTTTTTTCAATAAAATTAACAACCTTAACTCTTGAACATTTAGTTGATATAATTAGATGACCTAATGCCCTTTCCAGTGAGATTTCAATGAAAAATTTTATAATTATCTGAAAAGAACTCAATTATTAGATTGGAACCAGTAACACTATTTGTGTGGGGCACTGGCCTCAACCTGTGAATGATGAACTGAAATTGTGATGTTAGAAATGTGGTGAAATTGAATATGTTACATATAACTTTAGAGGTCCAGAGTCACAGAACCTTCATTTCTGTCATTTGATGACTTTAATTCCTATTTCACTGAATTTGCACAATTATATCCACCTATCCATCAGCGTGTGCACCCAGGTAATCAGCCTTCTTTGCTGATACTGTAGCACAACCATCCCTGTTTCCCTCAAGACCAACAAACCATGTATGTCTGTTGAAACACCTTCTGGCATGTTGAAGACATTGCTTCAACCCTTCTTTCTCCCCTTAAGGTAAATGTATTCCTCTACTAAATCTTCCTCTTCAATATACAACTATGTTTATCTTGAAACAAACAAAAACACTCTTGGCTGTTTCCCCTCAGATATCACTCCATTTCTGTACTCTGTACAGTACTGTGCATTTCTCTTACCTATCTTTAATTCTTCTTTCCCGTTATCTCTCTCTTTTAAAGATTTATTTATTTGTTTATTTGAAAGTCAAAGTTACACAGAAAGAAGGAGAGGCAGAGAGAGAGAGAGAAAGAGAGAGAGAGAGAGAGAGAGAGAGAGAGGTCTTCCATCTGCTGGTTCACTCCCCAATTGGCCGCAACTGCCAGAACTGTGCCGATCCGAAGCCAGGAGCCAGGAACTTCTTCTGGGTTTCCCATGTGGGTGCACGGGCCCTAGCACATGGGCCATCTTCTACTGCTTTCCCAGGCCTTAGCAGAGAGCTGGATCAGAAGTAGAGCAGCCGGGACTCGAACTGGCGCCCATGTGGGATGCCAGCACTGCAGGCAGTGGCTTTACCTGCCACACCACAGCGCTGCCCCCTCATTATCTCTTAAACCCACTTCAGCCAGGATTTCCCCACCACCATTTCTTCAAAACTCTTGTCAGTAATTCCTATTACACTCCAGGTGCAGTGGCAAAATCTCAGTCTTCATTTTACTTGATTCATTGGCATCCCTTGAAGTATCTTCTTCCTTGAAACATGGTTTTCATTTTTATTCAGAACACCACATTCGCTTGGCTTTTTTCCTACCCTGCTGGCTGCCTTCTTCATCTCCTTTGTTGGTTCCTCTCCCTGTTCTTTCTGACATCATAACTTTCTTTTGCTTTTTAGTTCAACATGAAGAGCCAAAGTGCCTCCGTTTTAAAAGCAGCCTCCATTTTCTGGAGCAGGTCCGAGTTCCCGTAAAAGCAAACATTTTGGGGAAACTGAAACTTACAAAAGGGCAGCTCATAGCTTACGACCAAATAAGGAAATCTCCTAGACTCAAGCCAACCAGGAAAAGCCAGGCCAACCATGAGTAGCCCTGACCAATCACAAGTGGCCCCATACTGTAAGCTCCC